GCCCAGGTCAGGGAGGAGAGCACTCAGGAGCTCCAGGCCCTGGCCCCCTGCCCCTCCACCCCTCCCTCAAGCTCAAGCCTTGAGTTCCCAGACCGCCCATCTTCTGGGTGCAGCCTTTGTGAATGCAGTACCTCTGGCCTGGCTTCCTGTCCCCTTGTCCACCTGGAAACCTCTTACACATCCCTGAGCCCTGTCCAGGGCCACTCCTCTGTCAGGCCCTTCCCGAGCCTGGCCCTGTGACAGCGCCAGCACCCCCTCTGGCATCACGTGCCCCTCTTGCACACACTCACTGCAGGGTGGGGTCAGAGGTGTCAGCGCCTGGCAGCAGCACCAAGGCACCCACCAGTGGTGGCTTCATGAAGTGGGCCACGTCCCACAGCCGGTTCCGCAGTGCCTTGATCTGGGTCACAGAAACCCCTTTGAGTTTGGTGATGACGGAAATCTGGGGGTCCAGGTCCTGCTCCTGGTAGCCTTTTGTGGCCAGAAGGGCCCACCTGGGAGGAGGCGATGGGCAGTGTGGTGTGTCCCCTGCACATGGTGAGCAGTGGCAGAGCTGGGCCCCACCCCCTCAGCCCCTACACCCTGTAGGCTCCCAGCACAGCATTCAGGGCCCCCGCCTCTTCTCCAGCCTCATTTCCACCCCAAACACCCTGCAGGTGTTCCCGCCATGTATCGGAGAGCCAATGCTCTCAGACCCAGATGCCCACCACCACCTCCTTCCCCAGCCATCCCCCTCCCCTGCCCGGGCCAGACCCAGCTCCCTCTTAAAGGCTCCCCTGACCCAGCCACCACTGTGGTCTTTCTCAGGGGTCCCAGGGCTCCAGCTCTCACAGGTGTCAGGGACTACCTCCTGCCCCTCCCAGGGCCTCCTGGGCAGAGTGACACCCATCTTGCTCTGTGCCCAGAGCCCAACACAGGGCTGGGGACAAGGCCCAGGAAAGGAGGCAGGTGGACACACAGGAGGACACAAGCTCGCGGCTTGCTCTTGTACCTGCTGCCTCTAGACAGACGGAGATCCTTCCTTCTGCCCCCACCCTGTCCCAGCCTGCCCCCTCCACTACCACCAGTCCAGCCCCTGAGGAGTCACCCCCCACCCTCAACCCAGCATGACCAGTCACGGTCCCTCCAGCCAACCTGCCCAGGAGCCACTCTCTTACCCCCCCACGGAGACCATGACCCCGAGCTGCAGCAGCCTCTGTGGGGCGCCCACCCCCCAGTTCCTGGTCATCACCTACTTCTCAGTTTGTAATCCAGAAGCCCCCAGCCTGTCACGGCCCCTGGGGAGCCCATGCCCTCAGCTCCTGCTGGCTGCCGGGGAGCAGGGTCAGCAGAGCAGCTGCAGCCCCAGCTGCACAGGAGGAAAAGCAGGCGCCCAGGCCAGGCCAGGCCAGCAGCTGGTAAAGGGACACTCCCACTGGGGGCAGGACCCAGCCCCACCCCCGCCCTGGGCT